GTCTCGAATAATGTTGAAACATAAATAAATGTCTTCGAATCTATTTTTCGAACAAGATTAGTGATACCCATTTTTCGACTCGAACTATAATCCTATTTCTTGCAAGCAGCTTGCGAATGCAGGAGGAATATTCGATCGAAACAACCGATTCATTACGTCGGGAAATATCTACGCTTCGCAAGCACAACGATAAGGTTCCGTGATTGAGTCAAAGGTAATCCGTGTGAGCTCCTCTAAGCACCTTATATCGCCCACGTGCTAGGGAACAGTCATTTAAAGTAAAGCTGACTTATGAATGAAGTTTACTTCCTTGCTCAGAGATTCCATAAATTATCCATTCAAGAAAAATTACTACAATTTTAATTGTAAATATATTACAACAAAAAAAACGCAGACAAAATATAAAATATCATTTTTTAATTAATTCCAAACAGATTTTTTTTAGTTTAACTTTAATTTAACATTAATAGATATAATTTTATAATTTTAAAATTTATGTAACTATTTAAAATATCAGAAAGTAAAGATTAAATTTCCGTCCTAAATGAAAAATCCATTAAAGCAAAGAATTTAATTCCGGAAAAATAAAAAATTTCGTTAAAAAAAGGGGGGAAAAACGTGTAGTGTACTTCGGTGTATGTACTTTGTGCACGAGCAAGTATATGTCAACCGCGCGGCGAGACGAGACAAGACAGGAGGAACAGACGGTGCCACGTGATATAATGACGGTGAACGTGTGCATAACCGTAGGACCCAGCAGTGGTATAACCATCGTATCGACCCACAAGACAGTCGGGCGCATCCATGCTCGACTGACTGCTCACGCGCGCCCACTCATACACGCAAACGTAAATTGCTCGTGACGTGCACGGCACCCACACGCATACACGCATAGGAGTACTAATATACCAATGCGGGCTGTAGCTTGCACCGTGGTACGAAAATTATTCCGGCGAGCTTTGTGACTGGCGAGAACTCGCTTAGCAACAGCAAAAATATAACTTTCCAACTTTTATATTAATGCATAAGTTAAACAAAAAGTTCTCGCATAAGTTCTCGAGTTGTGCATCCCTTGTATTTCATAAATAATTCTGTTAATTTTCATTTAATTTCATTAAAAAATTATTCTTCCACAATTCCTGACAATTTGCAATTTTAACTCCTCCGTCAGCAATAAAGGTTCTTCGAAAGAAGGATCAAATTTCTGTTATTGTTCTGAATTAGAATTATATACAAATTTGAAAAAATTCTGATGTATTTTTCAAAGTTTTAACGAATTGTTATCACCAATTGTTACATCATAGAGATCGGACTATATTTTATGTATTTTTTACAGATCTAGATTTATCTACTAGAATTCATGATCAATAGTACCTTTCCAATATTGCTGGCGGAGGAGTCAGAGGAGAAAATAAATTGAATCAATACTTTCATTTGACGATTGTGTAAAATTTCAATAAAGATTGTACACATTTCACAATATATGTCAGTAAAATATCCTACTGATTAAAAACACATTCAAATATTCGTTCGTGTCATCGATTGTCTCGTCGCACACACTTCTTGCTTAACTAACGCTGAAAGTGAGAGAATTTAAACGAAGACCGGGATTCGTCGCTTTCGCATTTCGAGGTGGATGCGAAGATGAAGGGTGGCAGCGACTAATTGAAGGCGGCTCTGGAGTATTACCGGCGCGCGCGCGTTTGGAGAAATAATTATGTAATTCAATTATTCGCAAACGCAGATGAGAAATGCGCCGACGAGGAAAGCGGCAAGGCATGAATGTATGCTAACGTTAATCAGCGGCAGAGTAACGGAGAGCGATAACGAAGCACACGAACTCTAAGTAAACGAAAGATAATGCCGTGTCGAATCCCTCGATATCACAAAATCACGTTCCCGATAATACGATGTTATTGATTAAAAGCTGTTGAAAAGTTGCTCCACTAATTAGTCGCGACAAGTTTCCCTCGTAATTAAATGACTGTGCAAGTCAGCGCGACTCATTCTTGGAATCATTCTTGCTCTGTGTAATTAATTATAATTCGTGGATCGCAAGAAACTCCATATGGACAGAGATACGTGTAATCGAGTAGATAGAAAGCGACCTGGTATTATATGCGACTAACTTTATCCGCGACTCTTATTGCTACGATTTGATCTATTCACTTTCTCATTATCGTTATCATTTCTCGAGACGGGTAACAACCATGTATTAATGTGAAATAACAATATTTTATTTATGATTGGCAGCGGCAATCATAAATATCATAAATCATATTTTTTATAATCGCTATACCGACTTATCGTCTCGCAAGGAACCTAGTTCTGAATTAATCCGACGGGTTACGCGTGAGAGCCTTCTATTCTTTCTAATCCATTATTTTGATCTACATTAATAAATCTATCGACATCATGTTTTCTATTTTAATTACTTTCGCCATGTTGAACTTAAATACAGATAACATTAATTCTATAAACGTGTTCAAACTTTCACACAAATAAGAATACTGAAGTTATTGTGACATCTTCTATCTTGGACTCCATGCCTCGCAAATTAACAAAGACTAATCCGAGCCCTATACTTATTGTTAGACTTCGCAGATTTCTAGTGAAGTGAATCAAAGTCTGCGAAGATTGAAATACGATGAGGAAACGAGACGAGGGAGAAGAATGACGAAACAAAGGGAGCACAAAAGGATACGGGAGTGTCAATGTCTTCTCGATTAAAGCGAGTCCTGCAAATTTCTCCAAGCCTACCCATTCATTTGTTCTTTTCTTTCTCCTTTTCCATCTCTATCTCTCTCTATCTCTCTCTCCCTTACCCTTCCGCCTTTCCAACTCTTCTCGTTCGCTGCATCTCATCAGACTCCTAGCTTTTTCTCGGATGAAAGAATTACAAAGGCCTCACTGAGACACGCGTAAGTACTACCTTAGTGCCGTTACCGACCAAGACGACGTCTCGTCCTTTTCCCTTCGGATAGAAAGAGCTGAAAAACAGAGAGCAAGCAAGCAAGCAAGCGAGAGAGAGAGAGAGAGAGAGAGAGAGAGAGAGAGAGAGAGAGAGAGAGAGAGAAATGACGGTGAACGACGGAGCTAAGCGAGAGACGCTGAGAGCCGGAGAAAAGAGAAAAGCACATAGTAAATCCAGAGCGGCTAGGTAGGTAGATAGGCTGACAAGAGACGTAGACAGGCATGGATGACCAACGAGGCCGATAAACACTAGGCAAGTCTGGCCTGTCTGCTCGCCGGCAGCCACGGTAGTATGGCTTGGCGGATTCTCGAGGAGGATGCACCGACACAGATTGGGTTACGATTCTCTGGTGCAAGATCTCCAAATTACATCCCGTGGCAGATGAATTTGCTATCTGACCCAGCACGAGCGTTATTCGGAATGAACATAAGTCATGATGATAATAGGCAGGCAAGAAACGCTTGCGAGAAACACAGCAGTTGTGTAAATTAAACAAAATCGTCAAGATCAAGAGCGAGAATTAAATTAATTAAATCTGACAATTAAATGAAAATTATTTCAATGAAAATTATTATATATTAGGAAATTTTGGCGTAAAGCGTAAATATATAAAATGCCATTTAAAATTATGTTTTTCCCCGTAAATACATCGCTGAAATTATTCCAGTTTAATTTCAAATTCAGAGCTCACGAAAGAAAGGCTATTTGTACATTAATTAAATATTATTTTTTTAATTCTTAATTTGCTTCGCAAGCATGATTATCATTTTACGAACGATAGGACAATGATAATTTGCCATGCCTGAGCTTTACTTCCTGGAGACCGCCGGACTGGAGAGGCGGTCTGAGCAGCCACTTCAGCCTGAGGAAGAATAGGCCCGTAAAGAGTAGCGTAATAAGGAGTAGGCGGCTGTAGTCTAAAGTCTCTCTCTTTCTCTCTCTTTTCCTTCGGCAAAACTGCCAATCGCGCGTTGCTAGCGCACACCGTTACCATCCATAAGTTATTCTTCTCAACGAACACTTCAACTAAAGTGAAAGAGAAAGAGAGAGAAAAAAAGAAAAAGAGAAAACAAAGACTATCTACGCTTGAATATAAATTGATATTATTATCAACGATGATAGGAAAAAAGTCTCGATGACTCAATTTTTATCAAAAAAAAAAAAAAAAGAGAAAAAGAAAGAGAGAGAAGCAAAAAAAATGCACCGTCACGTATCAGTGCCACGACTACTCTAAAAGAAAAAAAAGAAAAATGCCATACGAAACGTGCTGAAGCTGCGTGATATAGTGTGTACGTACGTCGACAAAAGTGAAGTGTTCTTCTTTCTCTGTTAAACACGAACCGCGCGCGAGTCACGCAACTTCTTTGAACTTCACGGAGAAGTTTCGACATTCGACGCGAACGCAGGCGCGGTAGAAATGGGGAGGAACGGAAAGAAAATAAGGCTCATTATACCCGGCTCCATCACGAACCTAATGATACCCATGGCCCGTCCACAGAGGGATGATCACATTGTAAAGGAAGAGTCGAACAAGAAGACGCGGAATCGGCTGGGAAACGAAATATTGCAGCAATACTTTGTAAGCGTTATTATCCTCACCGCAAATTTAAGTACCTATTTCTCCAGTTGATATTAGCTTTCTCCTTACATTGTAGCGGTTATTTACTAAAGCTGGCATGGTCATTTATGTACCCTCCGTATTATTAATTCTTGATTATACACTTTCCACGCGAATCTGCCGACATTTGTTGTAACCCTAATCGACATTACCGAGAGTACACTTGACGTAATAAACTAATATTTCCATTTGGACAAGCAACAATTTCGTTCAAATGGCTCATCCAGTTTTGAGGTTAATAGGCTTCCATCCCAAACTATTCACGAGACACTTGAATCGCCGTACTGTAAGTCGTATATTCTTCGAATAGAAAACGGAAATGGAGTAAGGAAAAGAAATCACATTCTTACCTTAGCGAGTCTCATGGCTGTGAGCCAGCAGGTGCGCGATTTTTCGTTCTCGAAAATAATGACCTTGATCCCAGGCTCCCCAGCCTCCGTATCTTCGGCTTCGGCGTTGCTGTTCGGCCTCAAGCAGGCGCCCCACTCGAAGGGTGCGCCGAAAACCCGCTTGGCGTTCGGTATCCTGTAGATGTTGTAATCTGACAAGTGCGCGAGTGTGATTAGTTGTTCGTTGTCCTGTAACAAAAATAATGACACACTTATTAAAATTTTGCTCGAAGGTATTCAGCCTAAAATTATTCACGCAAAAGGAAACTGAAACGTTCAAAATAGAAAAGCTTATTATGAGAAATTACTATCTTCCTTCCCGTATTGCAACATTTACGTTACAAACGTGAGTTGTATGTAACTATTGGTAATTTAACTTCCCTTAATAATACGTTTGTGGTCCACGGTTAATGAAGATGTAACATAATGGTTGTTTGTTCTCAATTATTGTGTATTAAATGAATAATAAGAACAAACACTAATTACCAGCTACGTTTTCAATTATTATAAAACTATTGGTGTAATAATTAATTAATCAGTATGGTCACAATAACTATAATGATTGTAGATGAACCGCGATCTATCTTCCCGTGGAAGTAACGCGAACAAAGTAGTATAAGCGTATCTACGAGTTGCCCGCAAGCAAAAACCGTCGCGAGATACCTTTCTCAGTAGACTCTCTCTCGTTCCATCGAGACTTCCTATAAGAATCTTCATCGGATTCAGCAGAAAACTTTCTTTCGCGACGTCACTGGGAATCGCGAGGGCAATTTATTATAACAGCGGGACAATTTTTACGGCGGCATGCCGGCACATCGCACAGGAAGCACCGCAGCGACGACAGCTCTTATCGCGAAGTCACCATTATTTGCCTGCAGTGGAGACCGGGAAAGTCGCGTTTGTCGAATGATTTCCGGTAGTAAATATTCATGGATGTGGGTGTGTTCGACATTCTTTAAACGGAATACATCAAGGGTGTATCTAATCGCACATCCGGAAAGCAAGCTTTTCGTCTCACGACGTTTTTCACAAATAAAAAATTATGCTCTCATCTTAATTTCCTAAAATATATCTCGATTATATACACATCCATATTAAATAAGATTATTAGCAAAAATAGAAAGAAGCGAAGAAGCATACTACAAGGAAAGAACAATTTTGCTGAAGTATCTAAAAATTTAGCTAGGTACAGAACTGAAAATTTTTTTATTAAATCGTGAATATAATTATGTAAGCATCTCAAGCCTCATGAATAATGCTGCAAAAAGTTTTGACATTCTAGCAATCAACTTCTACATAATTATTGATATATTGATAGTCCAACAAAAATATTTTCTAATAAAGCAAAAAAATAAACAGGGGACTCTTATAAAATATAAGAGGATTTGTTAAAAAATATTTTCAGATCTGCATCTAGTTAAATTTTTAAATACTTCAATAAAATTGTCTTTTTCGTGTATTTTATGTCTAAAGATGTACAATCCTTTAACATTTTTATATTTATGTTTTTTTATATAACATTATACTTCCTTGCTTCCATAATGCGACACTCTACTTCGAGCTGCATCGCAGATCTAAGTAATTAAATAAAATTACCAACGTCAACAGAGGAACAGCAGATTAGCGTGGATAACGAGATGTATGCGCGATGCCCCGATGTCTAACAATTTCACGCGCAGTCGGTGTCACAGCGCTTTTATATTTAACTCGGCGCGTACTATCGCAAAAGGTACCATCCACGTTGTTCTACTCTCTGACCTTTATCCGCTTATCGGCACCTGTATGATAAGCGGTCAACCGTGAACCATCGACCGGTCGATTTTCAAAAATCACCTTGTAATAATCGAGCTATGTTTCCTGTCATGTTGTGGACCTTCTATTAACAACTGTTATGCATGTGCACGTATTCCGTGCATTCAATTCCGCGAATTACCTGAATATTCTTTCAATTTAGTTTCACACTTTAAACAAAGAGTAAAATCAACAATTATCTAATCGTTGCATAAATATATGCGATCATATCTATTAATTAAAAATCAAAATCTCGCCTTATTTATACATATCAATATATAGAATAAAATATTCAATTGTTATTATCTCATCTCTCAAAAAAAATCATTATACAGCACATCTCTCGAGATCGAAAGACATTCCTCTCGTTTGTTCGTGCCGCATTGAGAGGAAGGGTGCGGTTGGTCAGGGACTCGCAGGTCTCGAGAAAATCTTGTTGGCCGTGGTCGCCGCCGTGCTTCATGCCACGATGTGCTGCCGCTGTTGCTGCTGCGCAAGCATTCGTCACGCGTGCACAAACAGATGGATAAGACAAGGGGGAAAGGAGGAGGAGGAGAGTGTAAGAGACGCAGAGCGAGATAGCGGCGGGACCGTTGCAATACGGCTCAGCAAATATTTGACGATTAGCTCGGTTGCTCTGTACCGCGGGAGAGCGGGGCTGCGTTAACGGTTACGTAACTATTATCCAGCTAACCATGGAATTATGGGCGAAAGTGAATGAGAAGGATGAAAAGATAGAAAGATATTAGTTAAACAGTGCCCGACTACAGAGTAGTCCACAGTACTTAACTGAAAATAAACAAACTTGCGTAACATATCAAGCATAAAGAATATGTGAAAATATAGAAGAGTAGACAGAGGAGAGAGAGAGAGAGAGAGAGAGAGAGAGAGAGAGCGGAAAAACGCGGGAAAATCCAGTGATATCTTCCCGTATTTTTACGAGCAAATTGTCCACATAAGATTTGCATGCTACCCGCAAATACAGCTTCACACCGCTTCTTTTGAACGCGCGCCCGTAATTCTGACACGTGTAAACCGTTGTCATGCATATCAAACGCGCCCGTTCACGTTCTGTGATTGATCGTGCGCCGTAATCTTTTGAGGATTGTGTCTTTATACGTACGAGATAAAAATACACGTTAAAACACCAGCAAATTAATAGCAATGTCAGACGGAGGCGGGCTAGCGATTAAGGTGAGAAAGGTAAGAGTCTGGAGTCCATTTTTAGGTATCGTTTCGGTCACGCTATTCTAAAACGAAAAGATGTAGTTAAGATAATTTAAAATTAATAATATTTCTTATCGTGTGTAACTTGAGAACTAATTCTTTTTCTTTAATCATTATAATTATTATTTAAATAGCGGAATATAATATAATAAATAATACTACTTATAATGTAAATTACTTATTTCTTGGAGCATTTATTTCATGATTGTTGTAACTTCGAGTACAGCAATTCGTAATGGAGATGTATTCGATTTCCATTGCAAAATCATGCTGAGACATTGGCAAGCACTTTATGATCTGCATATCTCAAGTCGATGTCAGCATATATTGCGCACGTTGATCTCTCGAGTAGCTGGATGGCCGCTATTCGAATGTAAAAAGAAAGTAGGATATAAACGAAGAAATTCTTTCATCGTTTATCCTGTTATTTTAGCGGTTATTTAGTCAACGATAATCATGCACTGGTAATTTTATATTTTTCACAATACCCATTATACCCACTCATTATAATTGTTGTTATATTTTTTATCATATTAATTATCACGGCGATAAAAATAGTAATACAATAGTAATTGCGTCAGCTAAATAAAATGATTAAATTATATATTTAAATAGCTATCAGTTTCTTTTAATTAAATTTATCAAAAGAATAAAAAATATCATATAATTTTGTAATTCATCAAAATACTTCTTAATTAAATTCGACGACGAAAAATTGCTGATACAGCAGGAAGCAAAGAATTGGGAAGAAGGTAAAGATACAAATCGAAAGAAAAGTTGATTCGAAATGGGAGAAAAAGAAAGGAGATCCAAGAAATCCGAGGATTCGAGATGAAAGACTACAGATTTATTTTATTTTAGGCGATACCTTGTCGTGAAATCAACAATTTATCGTGATGAAAAAGTCCCGACAGCATGTCAACGAGCAGTATAATGGTAAGTATATGAATAAGATATTACAGAGATGCGCGATAACTTCGCGGAGTTTGTTCCTGTTCATCATTTTTTATGCGCGGGAGCCAGGAGAGTTATTGGCATTTCCGTCTAGGGATACACGACTTCGGAAACAAAACCGGTTTATAAATAATTCCAGAAGCACGCTCTCGCGCGCGATTAAAGAGAAAGAAAAAAGAAGGAAGGTACACACGGCGGCAGCGCCTGAAGACGCCAATAGTCCGTGCAATCATTGCCAATAAATTTGGTCCTGCGCTTTCATCCTTTCTACATCGTCATAATCCTTCTCGTCTTTGTTCAAGAAGATTTCATGATGAATCGTCGATTATCAATTTTGCTGTTTGTAAATAATTTTCACAAATCTTTTTATTTATTAATTTTGATTATTATGAGCGTATATCTTTCATAGTCGCATCGAGGACGAACTCGAGCTCAAGCGTAGCTCGAACCGCATCAGCGGTCGTTGGCCCGAAATGACATCGTTAAGTTGCCGTTCGCGTGGCAGTGAAAGGATTGACTCCAGGGCGGCGTTAGACTGGCGTTAGCGAACGGCGGAGAGGGAGAGAAAGAGAGAAGAGGACAACGTATGATAGGTCAGGTTTTTCTTCCTCCGGAGGCGGCGGAGAGATCCGCCGTGCTGCAAGCCAATGAGGAAAGACAAGCGAAGAGAGACCAAGAGGATGCCGAAGGTATGGGATGCAACAAGAGGCCTGCGTGCAATGGGCGCATTGAAAGTCCGTGGAAAGGCTTTCTCCTCCATATCTCATCGCTTTATTTGTTATACTCATTCCTCAGATTTGGAAAATGAATTTAACAAGTCTGCGAAAATTCGAAAGCAAAAATTGCAAATTCAAAAATAGTTCGCTATCTGAGAAATCCGAGTATTCAAATGAGCGAATACAAAACGCAGTGCGAATAAACTGTGTCTCGTTTTAAATAAATATTTGCTAAAACCACACGCGCGCAAATTGTAAATTGTTCGGCTTCTAGACGATATCGTCGCAACATGAGAGCGGCAGAAACAGAGAAAAGGATCATCCGTAACAAGTGGGGGAAATAATAAGAATCATTGATTATACATTGAGAAAATGTAGGCCGCGCTCCTGGCGTCGAGCTGCGCTATGATTACGCTAATAATGCGAGAGCGTATAACGGTAAGCATCCGTGAAAGGCAAACAGGAGAACAACGGGCCCGACCACTACTGTGTCGTGAAAAA